GAGGTTCGAACCTCGGCTCAGATCGTCATAATTTCGATCCCCATCTGAATTGATCGGGGGATTGATCGATCGAAGGATATTACTTGACGGTAGAAATAATTGGACCCAGAAGATTTCGTACAAAGTCTACTACTTTCTGACATACGCTATAATATGCTGTTCAATCAAGACGAAAGAGTTCTGTCCGAAGAGCGAAGCATCACTTGCTATTTGAAAACATAGTTTCAGGGCGAGGGAGAATTGTTAGTGATGGGAAATAGCTCATATAATACTAATAACTTATTACGTCCTTCGACCTCTTCCTAGTTAATTTCTAATAAAGTTACCATGATAGGATAACAGACTTGACTTCATATTGATCCTACTATTAGTGGTAGCAACCGCCAGCGTATACCGTTAGCATGAGTGCACTATTTCAAATTCTGACTACTGTATTTAGTATCGTGTCTTCAGTTAGACATTTAAGAGAAACTTTCAGCCAATTTTATGCTCTCGTCACAGTTTTCATTCGGAATTGATCCACAACGCTTTCCTCTTATTGCCTGCTTTGTAATGGGCGTAATCGGTAACCGTTAAAGTAAAGTAACTAATATACATGGACAGCATTAAAACTTTATTTATTCTCTCTTGTACCACACTGGATATTATTGCGGATTCTGGACTAAGGTATCATATCTCCTATGCTGTAATTACACTGCCTAATCTGCACTCTACAACTGAAATGCAGCTTTTAAATTATCAACGACCTCGGTAGTCTAGCGGATTGCACCGCTTTACTTCCTATTATTACTCTGCTTCTTCTACAACTGAAATGCACCTTTCAAGTTATCAAGGCTCTCGGTAGTCTTGCGGTTTGCACCGTTTTACTTCCTATGATTACTCAGCTTCGATTTCTCATATGGTAGAAACATTTGCATTCATGAGTATCATTATTTGTATCAATCTGGGTGTTTTCTTTATTTTCCGGGTTTTGATTTATATCAGTTGTCTAGTCCCTATAACACAAAATTTGGCTTGAGCCTGAACAGCGTTGTGTGAATGTCTAAGGTTACTATTATAAATGTAAATTAGACTCCATTCTGTATACTATGTCTCATTTGGACCGTTGTGCGTGTAGAGTCAAGATTACTAAAGTACCCAACCAAGCTCCTCTCAGAAACGAGGACGCCTCCTGGTATCTTCACAGGGTTCACGGAGCGACCTCACCGTTCTAAGGATTTATGTACGTTGTCCACTGCTACTCCAGGCATGAGCGGCCGTGTCTTTGCCTTCAAAGCAGCAGGGTTATTATTATTAATTTTCAAATATACTGCGTGGTGGCTGAATTACTTGAGGCTGTAGTACCCACGCATACGCCTTTTTACGCCTTTTTACCCCAGTCTACCTCTGGTAGTATATCTACGTGACAGTGATCCCTGCGTGCCCTTTGTGGCGCCGTGAAGATACGGCGCACGCGCAGCAATAGATTATCTCCAGTCACGATCAATAGTCGGGGATCGTGATACAGATAGTTTTTGTAGTTTGTAAGTTGCGTCACTTTTGTTACTTGAGAGGTAGTGACGACAGATTTTGTACAATGAAATCTATTTTAAGAACCGGTAGGTATTTTTTTTAATGGACGACGATGGAATAGTGATTCTGTTTATATGATTTTGTGGTATTTTTTAAATTAAATGAAATAATTGTACACTTTGCAATTATATATAGAAACTAGTCATAATCACACTAGCACATAGCATAGATCAGAAAAGGAAGAAGTTTTTTTTTACTATTTAATCATTTCAAAAGAAATAGAAATACAGTTTAGTATAAATATATAAATACATTTCTATTTTTTGGATATTTTAACATTATTTTATTACTGTTTATCAAAAGAAATAGAAATACAGTTTAGTATAAATATATTAATACATTTCTAGACTTCCGCCGCGATTTGATACGGCATAAATTTTATTTATATAAAATGTTACTCTGGGGGAGGATTGGATAAAATGTTAAACTTGAAATAAAAAATCACAACTTGGACCAAAATAAACGTTTCTAAAGCTATCTTTTGATTGAAGTCTGAAATAAGACAGAGAAATAATAAAAAAAAATACATGTACATGCACTAAGTCCTCCATTTTATGTTCTCTCCGTTCGATCTCCCTGATAATGATATTATGTTTATTATTTATTATATATTGATACTGATTGCAAACAAGCTGATGGAACGTCGGCTTGTTTGCAATCGTTATCAATATATACATATATATATCAATCATATTGCATTAAAATCGATATAACTATCAATATTGATATAAAATATCGATTTAATCACGTCTCACAGACATGTCTTCAATGTATAAGTATAAGTTTATCTGGTATAAGCAACGTATAATTGTGTAATATAGGATTAATAGGTATGCCCTATGATTTAACTCGTTATTTAATCTAAACTGCGGTTTCATTTGTTATCTAATCTTATTTTTATAGTTTGTATTCATATATATATATATATATATATATATATATATATATATACATAAATAAAATAATAACTCTGGACAATTAACACAGCGCCATCTAGTCCCTCGGCGAGCAGAGCTTGTGTTATAGGTACTAGGCAACTGATATATATATTTTTGTAAATACATACATATTATACATAGAAAATCCAGACCGATAGAAACAATCATATTCATGACTACAAATGTTTGAACCGTGCGAGGAATCGAATTTGCGATCATCGGGAGTATAGCGGTGTGTTAAACAGCTAGACCTCCGAGGCCGTCAAATAATATATAAAAAACACTCAGACCGATACCAAACAATCGTTCTGATGAATACAAATGTTTTTACCGTGAGAGGAATCGAACTTGTAACTGTCGGAAGTAAACCGCTAGACCACTGCGGCATATTTATTTGTCAATCAATAATACTAACAAATCAAATAATACGACACAATAAATGTATAAAAAGCATTTTGTTGCAAAAATTGTATTGCATTGTGTAACCACTCATTTGTGCTTACAACAACAACCTTCGGGCAATAAAAGTGAGATCATTACAAAAATAACATAACAATTAGTTTTATTTAGATGTTGCATATATCTTTATATTAATACGTGCGGTAAAAACGGACTGAGGCGTATGAAATTTATATAGAGAAGGAGTGCAGAATTAAATTTTTTTTAAATACATAAAAAACATTACATAATCTACCATGAATTGAACACACAGGCATAGTCAGAATATAGTCTTTGACGGTAGAAGATTAATAATTGTTCAAACTTATAATTGAAATTAGTTATAGTTGAATATCCACCACTGGGCGACAACTGAAGAAAGTAATTAGACAATATTATTGTAGTTTCCCCATTTCAATCATTTTAAAAATATTAATTCGTTTCAGTTACATTACAGCATCAATATAACAAATACAAATATACCTATTATGTGTATTCTATTAACTTACGAAATAATATAAAAGTATATTGTTAAATTATATTTCGGGGTTGTTGTTGATTAAAAAGTAAGTAAGTCGTTTAAGATAGTTTCCAATTACTTATCGAATAATTTGTTATAACTTTTTATATTGTAATAAAGAACATATCATAATCGTATTTTAAATTGGAATGGACTTGATCTGAATGGACTTAAAATGTTCATAATTTTCTTACCTTATGCCAATATCAATAGGAGAATATATTTTTCGTAGTACCTAACTATTAATATTAATAAGATATAGTAAAAAATTCAAATTATACGTATATTTATCCATACATATTTTACGGAAATGAATTAAACGATAACTAAAATATGTTCTGTTTATTTTTATGGAAGGATATATGAAATTACATTATAAACAATTAGATTATAATGTATATGTATTTTCATATATTTTTCATACTCGATTGCGTCATCACACAACAGTATTGACTAGACATATTAAACATTTTTTCGGAAAAACTATGTACCTATGTGTTTTTCTTCGACAGAAAACATTTTACGTAAATGATAGCACCATTACATGGGGTAATTTTAAAACAATATAAGAAGTCACTTATACACGCTCACTTTAATTCAAATTTCTAGTGTTAATAATGAACCTTATTTACATTTGTATGTCCGCGGCACGACCGTGTGAAACCGTCTGGTCCATCGGAGCATGACGGCCTGAATGCACCCAATTGCATAGTTATTTCATTGTTTTTGGTAATAATTTGTAATCACTGATACATACGATGCATACCCGACGGCCGCAGTGGTATAGCGGCTAAGTACGCTGTCTTATATTTGATAATCGCAGGTTCAATTCTTCGCACGCTGCAAACATTTCATTTAGGAGTATGATTGTTTGTCTCGGTGTTTTCTATGTATATTATGTACTGTTATTGACCTCGGTGGTCAAGTGGTTTAGTACACCGCCTTACTTCCGATGGTTGCAGGTTCGATGCATAGCAAATACAAATATTTGCATTTATGAGTATGATGTTTCTATGTTTATTATCGCATGCCTCCTACTTGTTGCTGTGTATTTAATATTTGAAATATCATTTATTCAAAAGAGCAACAGGCAGGTCTTTTTCTCGTTCGTCTTTCTTTGTAATAGAATATTACTATTTAAAAGTGAGCATATTTAATTTAATTGAATAAAGAATATTTCCAACATAAACAATCGTAACATTTGAAATGTCAAAGACATCCATTCTGTTTAGATTTGACAACTATTTGCTCAAGATTTAAAATTATTATACATTATGTAGGGTAATAAAAACTAAAAGCTTAAAACTGCTCGGCATACAATTAAAATAATAAAGATATCGTGATAAACATACAGAAATGTTAGATACCAACTAACAGAATCTAATGCTCCCCACCACAAACCCTTTGTCTCGTGACTTAAGTATTTTTCCTAACGGTTAATTAATCACTGAAGAAGAGATAAATTTATCTTATCACAGCGCAAATATATCGTAACTTGACGATTTTTTTAACGACCACCTTTTTTGTCGTAGACCTGAGCCGGTTGCTGTCAAGTGTAGCCTTGTGGATAGTCAGGTCTTCGGTTCATCTGTTCTGCAAGTGGTGACGTCATGGGGTGGGAATGGTGCTTACTGGCCCTTTTGGGCTTGGCCGTGGCGCAGGGTCCGGAAAAACGTGAGTATATATTTTTTTATTTTCGCCTGTGATTTTGAATTTGGAATGTAGGAAAATATATAAGGAACTATTCAATAGTGGCAAAGTATTGTTTATAGTTATGTCTTTCTTTACGTCTAAAAAAAATATACTATAAAACTATTTTTAAAAGGGATAGATAGTTAATATGTTTTTAAGGATAGACATGTGATCGATTATGTAACCTTAATTTGATATCTCTACGACTTCGTTGTAGAAAAATACGAATTATATATAAGATAAAAATCCACGATTGTATTTTCAAAATTATATTAAATGAAAAAGTAGATATAATACTTACAATGTTTTCAATTTTGTTTATATACATAGTAACTTTAAAAAAAAAATTATAACATGTTTGTTTTGTATATTTTATGTAGATCTTTTAGCAATCAGATCTTTTTGAAACTAGAACAAATTACAAAATACAAAACAATAATTATATGCGGATAACAATTATAAATGATAAACTATTTAGATTTTTGTTCTAACTCATTTAAGTATTTATTGTAACGTCGCTCTTATAGCTTATAGAGTAATCGGTACTATCCTTAAACTCGCTCATAGCGTCATGTAGATTCAAGTCGGATTCATCTATTAAATTTATTGTATTTGGAATAGCAAGTAATTGAAATACAGCTTAGAAAGCAAGCTGCTTGGCGGCTAAAATAAGTGAGACAGTGGTACTCATGCAGATGACTTCTTACTATCCACCTCTGGTAACTCTTGCGTAACATTTATACATTTATATATATCAAATTGAATTCAAATAACTTTAATTTTCTTTTTTGAGTAAATTACAATAACACAATATTCAAACAATCGTTAATCTTTCAATTGTTATGAGAAATAAATGTAATATTGTACATAATTTGTTAAGTAGAGCATATTCCCACGTCTATATCGCACAAAACCACTTCCCTTTTCCATTATGATTGATTATGATTATTGAAACAATGGTAAAAGTATTTTATATTAATAAAAATATGCGTATAAATAATAAGATTAATATAAAAACAGTTAGTAACTGTTCTGTGGCTACTTTACGCGATCTATGGATTTTATCTGCCATATAATTTGTAAAAAAAATAATGTTAATTGAATTTGAATTGAATGTTATCGATTCTTATTTTAAATTGATACTTTTAATATCATGTTCTGTAACTTTTTTTTTGTTATTGTTTATCCTTTAATGGAAAGGCAAAGGTATAAAATAAGTAGTTTAATATATAATAACTTATCGAATATTTTAATAGATCTTATATATTATAGATAGCACAGTTTAGTCTATATATATGTCATAGATAAACATAGAAAAAAGAAATTCAGTTGAGTTTCTTGCCAGTTCTTCTGAATTGAATCTGTAAATTTTATGAACTAGACAATAGGGTAAAATATTAATACAAAAAACGTCATAAGCAGCTAAACTGTTCTATATCAATAATTGTTTTTTGATTTGATTTGACATATAAAACTTTTTAAGGCTTTTAGACATTTCTGTTGTTTTCTTAGTAGCTAGAATGACATACAAGCATTATGAGATTAAGTATAATATTGCCTGTGTATGGCATTTACTTATAAATATAAGATAAGAGCATAAACTAGTCAATCTTACTAACTGATAGGCTTATCAGGTAGAGTTTAACTAGAATGTCCTAATTACTTAAAACCTTTGTGAAACAATAGTGACATGTTCTACATATAACGTTGAGCAATGTATTTAATGTAAGTTTAATAAGATGTGTGGACTCGCCTCGGTGGTCCAGTGGTTTAGCCTTACTTCCGATGGTCGCAGGTTCAATTGTTCGCACGGTTGCAAATATATAGAAACGCCGAAACAATCATACTTATACATACATACATCTCAATGTATGTACCTACTACACAAGCTTTAGCTAGTTCTAGGGTCTAGATGGCGCTGTGTGAATTGTCCCGTGATTATTATTATTATTCTCATTGTTGTCTCATTAAATCAGCTTGGTTTTTTACGCTTTTGCTTTTATTATTATTATTATGTGTATTATTACAAAGTAGCTAAATTTGGGGAGGATATAGCGGGAACTATATGTAGTTACAACAACCACCTTTAATTTAGGGTAAGGGTAAATGCTTTGATTATATCCTTACCCTTCATAGAATGGTACAGAAAATTCTTTATTCAAATAATCTTACATGTAAACACTTTTGAGGCTACAGTTGTACAGTAGTACAAATATAATCACTACGACTGATTTAATCTTATTTATTTACTCAACCAGTTGGTTGTGAATTTAATGTTTTAACTCTAATTAACTAGTGTCAGTTGGTAGTTTGTACATTTCAGTTTAAAGATGTAAAATTACAGTAATTATTTAAAAGAGTACGCAAGTTTCTTGCTTGTTCTTCTTGTGATGAGACAGCTTACCGAATGCACTGTAGATTAAAAATAATACAGTTGCTTAAATTTGAGTTAATTCAAATAAAGAATTTTCTTTTCTATTCCATATTCTTAGGTAGTTACTATATGTACCTACGTAGTGCTTCTGTTTAATGATTGATGACTAAATCATTTTATAACTAATCCTTGAGTTTGTTTGCTCAATCACCTGATTAAACTACCGCGTTAAATAAATATGATTTATCGCTGTAATATTATATAATAACCTAACTTTACGTAGTACTAACCGCTAGTGGGAGAAGGTGGGGGGAAGAGGGGGGGAGAGGGCGGTTTGTTATTATTGTCTTCGGAACGGATCACGGAAAACACGTAGTACAATATAATAATAATAATAATATTTATTTATTGCCAGAACAAAAAATACATATACATACATTTGAGCTAGTACACTGTTGAACAAAAAATATAAAAAAATAGCCTCTTAAACTACGTATAAAATTGCAACAGTACCTCACATCACGGAAAAAACACTGACTCAGTGATGCTGTAAATATAATAATAATAATAATATTTATTTATTGACGACAACATCAAGTAAATAACTAGTTTATTAGCATACAAAAAATTTTCTCATTGCTTTCATAGAAATATACATACATTTTGCCGCATGCATTCTTATGTAAAATGTGAATACTATAACTATCAGATAGTTGAACAAAAAATATAAAAAAATAGCCTCATTAAACTACGTATAAAATGGTCGAGCGCAATGGCAGCTCATCCGTCACGTGAACTGTGTATTCTGGTCTGCTCTAATCAAAGATTTCCTCTTATTAATTTTTAACCAGTTGGTTGTATATTCAATATTACATTTGAGTATTTAATAGAATTAGTGCTAATTGGTGGTTTGTATTCACACATAAACGTTTACAGTTTCTTGCTCGTTCTTCTTGTGATGAGACAGCTTTCCGAACGAGTGTAGATTAAAAAATGTTCATTCAAAAGTGCTTCAATGTAAGTTTATTTGAATAAATGATTTTCTACTCTCATTTAATAAAATATAAAATTATGCGAGCTCCTTAACAGTCCAGGAATTAATATTTTTTACAATTCTTTTCACAACAAACATAAATCAAATAAAAAAAATATAATATATTAATGTGCAGTTGCGAACTATCAAAAGAACAATGTAGCAATAATATGAAGTATATTAAATTCCATGACATATAAAAGTAATCGTTCTAAAAATATAAAATTAAAAATATATCGAAAATAAATGTTATGTTCTTGCCTATATTTGACATTAATATAATTTTTAAGTGTAAATTGATTAATTCTATTGTATCATTTGAAATAGATATACTATTTACTAAAATTTTGTATGCCAAAACAATGGCCAAATATGTGGACAATTTTATTAATACTGACATTCTTTTAATATTTATACCATATTTCGTGCAAATAAATACATTTTATTCCATTTCAATAATAAAAATGTCAAAATGTCGGTCTGCAACAGTCTTAATGAATGGTTTGTGTGTAAAAAAGTCGAAGATGTCCAACACCATTGATGGAATGTGATAGGAATCGAGCAGGGAACTATTTAAGATTTGTTTTGATTAGGTTCGATATAAAGAGGTTGATATGTTTGTAAACCAAATAAAAAAAATGTGGTTCCTTTACAAGTAATGTCAACGTCAATTTAGAAATGTACTTTTATTTGCTCTAGAAATGATCACTTTTTTTTTAATTTATAGTAATATCTGCCGCTTCCTTTGTGGCGAGTAATGTCAGACCAAAAGCGACAATTTCCCCAGAAACGGTGACGGTTTTTTTTTTAATTTATAGTAATATCCGTCGTTTCCATCGTGGCGATATACTTTTGATCTTTTTTTTTTAATTATTCTGTACATGTGTTCCTTAGTTTTTTTAACGGTCACGGTTATTTGTATCCAGATGACTTCGCCACGATGAAATATATTTAAAAGTAAAACTTTATATGTAATTAAAACTTCAACTGTTATCACCTACTTAGCACTGCGCTGGGATATCAACCTCTAATTGTATCTTCGGGTCATGCTCAAGTTACCGGCTTGCTCAAGTAGGTCATATACTCGTTAGCACATTCTTGTCCAAGTATCTTATTAATAAAACCCCTTTAGATAGACTTTTTAACAGACATTTTAATTTTATTAATTTGTATAGATTGATATAGTTATAATTTATATATAAATAAAATTATGTGTCTGTTTGTAATATTGAAATAATCGTTTTTTACTACATGCATATACGGTACATAAACCAAAATAATATTTTTTACAATTTTTATCTGTCTGTTTGTTCCGGCTAATCTCAGAAATGGCTGAACCGATTTTGATGGGACTTTTATTGGCAGGTAGCTGATGTAATAAGGAGTAACTTAGGCAGTACGTACTTTTATTTTATAAAAATAAACTTGTATTCAACGCGGACGATGTCGCGGGTAAAGCTAGTAATAAATAACCTTGAACAATTAACACAGCACCACCTCGTCCGGTCCGGACGGTAAGCAGAGATTGTGTTATGGGTACTAGATAACTATATACTTAGGTATTTTCTTTTGTAA